GGGGGGCAGCGCGGAGAGCGCCGCAATCCTACAAGCTCCGCCCGGAGGGCGCGCGGTGGGGGAGGGGCACGTGAAAGGGGGGTCCAGTAGGTGGAGGGCTAGATAAAGACCCGCCTGGAAATGCGGCGGGGCTATAGCCGCAGAGCCGAAGACCGAAAGGCGGAGCGGGCGCGCGGGGCGCCTTGTCAGTCCCCTCCCCACTGCCGAGTGCGGGATGCTCCTCCGCTAACGGCGCCGCTGTAAGGAAGAGGCCGGCTCGGCACCTACCTCCGCCGGGTAAGTCTTCCCCTGTGCGCCGTGGAGGTCTCGTGATTGGGGGTTCAGGCAGAGGCAGAAGTCCCGAAGGTAATTTGGAAATGGCGCCTAGTGGAGAAAGGGGTTTCTTCCTGGTCAGAAATGGGCTAAGAGGTGCGAGGCTGTGAGGAGGGGGATAAGGAAGGACTAGGGCCGGGGACTTGAGCAGCTGTCGGGGGTCGCTGGGGAGGCAGCTCCAGCTTGGACTTTGAGGGGTCGAGTGTCTCCCGGGCCGCGCCAGGAGCGGGACAGTTCTCATTTGCGTCAGTAGAGATCGCCAGAGGATCAGAAATGAGTCCCAGTGGGGTCTGTTGAGGTCCTGGTCTCCGAGGGGCGCCCCCTCTTCTCCAACCACACACACACACACACACACGCGCGCGCGCGCGCGCGCGCGCGCACACGCACACACACACACAGCAAGGAGAAAGAAGGCCCCTTCGCGCCTCTCACGCCTTCGACTTCGGTGGTGCTTGGGTGTGGAAAGGGGGCGTTGTATCTGGAGGAGGGTTGTGGACATCTGGTGCTCAGATTGGCGAAATGAGAGGGAAAACCCCAGGTACCCCCCCACCCCCCACCCCCGCGCACCCTCTTCTTGTGTCCGAGAGCCCTCGCGGGTCGGTTCCCTGTGCTTCCAGGCCCCAGCCCTTTTCAGCGCAGGCGGAGAGCCCGGCTTCTCTGCGCCGGCGATGACTGCATTTCACCTCAGTCCTCCTGGCCCACCTTTAATTGCTGCATTCTAACCTGTTAGGAGAGGCTGCTTGTTTTTCCTGAGTCCAGTGGTAACGAGTTTGTCACGTGTTAAGAAGTAAATTCAGATAAGAACGTGCTTTCAATGCCATGTTTCCTTGAGAAACCCAAGTCTCCTGCATTGAAATCGCCCTTATGGGGGAAGGTAGGGCATGGCTGGAAGAACGTTCCTGAAGGCAACACTGACGATGCGTAATCTCATTGTAACATATTTAATCGTTAGAGCAGCGCGAACGAATGAAGCAAAGGGGTTCGCCCAAGGGGACGTGGTGTTTGGTTCCCCCAATAAACCGGTGACAATGGATTGGCTGAGACAGCTCATTTGGCCCGAGGGGGGCTTAGAGCTGCGTTTTAAAAGAAAATATTGGAGTGAGGCCGGTTCCATTTTGTAGTGCGCCCCGAGCCACATTTCGTGTTCAATTTAACATCCATGAAAGTTAAACGGCATTTCTCGCCTTTTATTTTATTGGATGCATTTTCAAAGATCTCATTAAAGTGCATTTATCAAAGCCCTAACATATGTCCGCGGGGTCTTACGCCCGCACAATGAAGCTGATTAATAGAAAGAGAAATCCTAATTTCTGTTACAATTTATGTCCTCAGGAGATATCTGCTTTTTTTTTCTTTTGAGGCAGCTAATTGGGAAAATTTGTATTTCACCTTGAAAAAAGAAGTGGGGTAACTCACTTGGGTTCCTGCGTACTGCACCCACAATTAATTTAACATGGGGACTCCAGGCTCTAGGTTCCAAGATCAATTCTTCTCTCCATGGCTTAACAGAGTTCCTGTGTTGTGTCCTGGAGGAACGGGGGAGGGGAGGGGCTTTTCACCAGATAGAATCAGAGCTTTGTCTCTAGGTCTGAAAAATTTCCCTGACCGACACCTTCTTGGTAACTTGAAAGGGCTGTCCTGGAAGTCACCCACTCATTCTTCTCATCCTAGGGCAATATTAAGGGTTACCACAATATGGGCCAAAGAAATAAAACACTCACGTCCGTCTTGAGCCCAATGTGGGCTGAGATTTCCTTTCCCTTCATACTAGCCCTGCCTGGTCCATCTGTCCAATGGCCGCGGGTCTCTCCTGCCCAGCCCTTATCATGGTCTCGTCTCATGGAAGTTGCACACTGATAGGGCTTTAGGCCTCCCCAACTCAGTCGCTCCACTCTGCGGCTCCACAGGCTGCAGGGACTTCCAGGGACCTCAGCTGCCTTTTCCAGGGGGCAGAAGGCGATGCCCTTTGGTGCTTGGACTCATCGGAGAAAAACCTGACTCAGTTTTCTGGTTGGGAAAGGTTCCGCTTGGGGTGGTATCCTGGGCCACACTCCTCGACTTCTTTCATCCGAGACACCAAAGCTGACACCCCTGCTTCTGCAGTGCCTGCTCCACCGCTTAACGTCAGAGACGCCTTTTGGGCCGTTTTGGAGGTTTGCATCTTAAAGGTGAGCGGCTTTATCGCCAGACTCAAGGAGCAGGTTGGGCGACGTATTCCATTGATTTCGAGTGCATGCCACGTTCCGAGTCTCCAACCCGCTATGAAATAAACCTTTCCTCTCCGACAAAACCTTTGTGTCCGCGCGGGCTAATCCTCGCCGGAGCAGGAAGGTGCAACGCGCTTTGTTTCGGGAGTGAATGAAGACAAACGCTTGCACCTTGGCGCTAACCAGACAATAAACTAATCCACTTGAAGGCTGTTATCTGAGATGGGATGGGGGGAGGCTGACAGCTCAGTCACACACTGTACCAGGGAAGGAGTTTCTTTTCAATCTCTTTTCATTCCAAAAAAAGAAAAGAAATGAAATCAAACAAATTAATGTTTCCAAATAAAGGGAAAAGACCTTGTATTTTTAATGACTGGAAGCCCTTTTGTGGGTGAGGAGGCCGAGTGGTGCTGCCTAGGGCTGCCCAAGCTTTGGGCTCCTCAAGGCCACCCCCCCCTTTAGAGCTGGCCCCCAAGTACCCCCCGACTTGGACTTTTCCTGCCCTAAACTCCTCTGGAGAACACACCTACTCAGCAAGCTTTCACCAGCCTGAAAAGGGAAGGATGTGAGCAGAGCGCCTCCCAAGTGGCCCTGAATCCCAGAACCGAGGTAAAGAGGTGGGGGCGGAGCTTGATGCTACCCCAGCACGCCCACTTCATCTACAGGCCCACCGAGCCAGGCTCCCAGGATTGGGGTGTTCCCAGGCCTCGTCTCACTTTCCCAAAGTATCTTCTTTTCTGCCCTGTTTGCTGCTGTTTAGACCTCCCCCCTCCCCCAATAGCGGGCGTAAAGCCGATGTGTGGAGAAGTGAGAAGCTGGGGACGCACCGCGCACCAGTGCCGCCCCAGGCTCCGGAGCTCGGAAAAGGCGCTCGTGTTTGAGCTACCTGGGAAAGTAAACAGGTAAACACTGGGCCGACTTGGAGGGCCACTTGTCCTGGAGTGGGGCCACTTAGCCTGTGTACATTCATCTCCCCTCCTGGGCCTCCGCCGATTGTTCAGCACCCCGCCGCCCTCTCCAGCTGCCTGCGCTCAGTCCCTCCGAAGCCCTGGGCAGCAGAGAGCATCTTAGCGGCCTGTGATGCCTCCCAAAGGAGGTTCCCTCTAGCCTCCAGGTAGAGAGTTTCTTCCTCCCCTCCCCCACCTCCTTTCGGGGCCTGCGACTCCCTTTGTGCCCATCCTAAAGGGAAGAAGGAATACAGAGTTCGAGATTTGTAAAGAACCTGGAGCCTCAACGCTGAGAATAAAGACCAGGGGCAGAGGACCAACGGCTGCTCAGGTGACCCTGGCAGGAGTGCTAGGTGGTATTTGTACACCTAGAGAACCAAGCCTGTCTCGCTCCGGCCTAGAACATGCTGTGATCAAATTTGCAGCACCTGTCTCAACTTTGTCCCCAAGTTTGCAGCAAAAGCCCAAACCCCGGCCTGTTGGAACTCAGGACATTTTTTTTCTTCGCTGCCAGATGGAACCTGGAAAGAATTTACTAAAGAATCTGAAAAAAAAAATCTGAGCTGGGCAGACTAGAGCATATCCACGTAGAGCTGAAACTGGTGTTAGCGAACGCTGATACGTTCAGAGCCCACAGGGTGGGGATAGCGATGACTCTGGAGAAGGGGCAGGAGTGCGGGGCCTGGTCTTCTCAGCCTGCTGGGTGTGCTGGATCTCGCTGAACAGGACATCCCAGACTCTAAAGGCCAGGCTGTGGTGCTTCTGGGGAGACCTTTTAGGGAGTCCTCCAAATACAATCACTTGGTTAATTTGTGTGGAAAGGTGTTAGGTGCCTGGCCCCCGCTATTCCAGCCGCAGGAAACCCGGGAGACCCTGAAGCGTGTTGGGCACCGGACTTGCCTCTAGCCTCCAGCTGGTCTCTCACCAGCCTCCTGAGGTCTGCAGGCCACTCCCAGGGGACTTGCATTTTATGATCTTCCTCTCACAAGCGGAGTTTCTCCCCTTCAATTACGAGCCTCCCAGAGGCCTTCCTGCGCCTTTGCAATTGCAAATATCAGCGCTTGGGTAGCAGACGCGGGAACTACATGGGCGACTAAGCGATGGGGAAAATGGACTCACGAGGTCCCAGGAGAGAGACACTTAGTGCAGCGGATCCAAAGCGCAGAGCTTGGTGGCAGGAGGCAAGGCGGAGGCTCCCAACTCCCTCCCTGCCTTTCTGGCCCAAGGCCGGGGAAGAATGACAAGCAAATGCCCGTGAGAGGGTGGGGAGGGAGCAGAGATCCAGGCACTGGCCTGTGCGATCAGGGGAAGTGTGGACCTGCCAGTGCTCTTGGAAGAGGACCCTGAGACCCGAAGCATGGAAAAACTCGAGTTGGTTGAGGTCAAGGGGCAGGTGCCCTGAGGAGCCTGACTTTCAGTGAAGGAGGGCTGGGGCCCTCCTTCTCAATGCGCCATTGTCAGCACTCCCTCTCCAGGATCAATTCCCCGGAGCCTGAATTCCCAAAGGAAAATGGGTGCGCTTCGGTAGAGGCCCCCAGACGGAAGGAAGGGAGGGGACTTGATCAACAGTGTCTGTGCTGATTAGATCCAGTGAGAAGGGCCCACTGTTGAGGGAAGGGAAGAAGTTGGAAGCTAAATGGAACCAGGTGGTTCCAAGGTGAGGAAATGAACAGTCTCCCAGGAAGGCATCTGGGGGTGGTTCCTCCCGCCAAAGATGGCTCAGGGGACACGCAAAAAGACCCGCGTTGGGGGAGCTCCTCAGCACTTCTTGTCAAAAGACCATTTTCCACCCAACCCAAGAACTAGCCTGGCCCTTCCCCATCCCTGGAGCCTGCCCTGGTCCCCAGGCGACACCCCACCCACCCCACCCTCTTGGGTCGTAGGAATAAGAGCAAGGACCATAGGAAGATCTTTTCTGCAGTGCTTAGATTGAGGAACTTTTTTCTGGCCAGTTATTTATTTAGCAGCTGAGTAACAATGGCTGGGGCAGGCCCACCCGCCCCTTCTTCCAAACTCCGGGCCCCCTACTCCTGGAGAACCAACTTTCCTCCTCCTACTGGACTGGGTAGACAACTCCCACGTGAGGGGCTAGGGAGAAACAAGGGGGAGGGAACCTGAGAAAGACAGAGACTGGAGAGAGAGAGAAAAGCACGAAAAGTAATGGGTTCGAGGAACACGATTCAAACCAGTTTCTAATTCTTGAAGGGGGAAAAAAGAGGAAAGAGGTAGAATGGAGGGGGGGGGGGAAGGAGAAAGCGGAATGGGGAGCGTCGACATGAAGGGGTTTCCTTAATATTGTGGACGGATTCAGAAATGAATGAAGAGATAGTCCATTGAAAAGGGTTGAATGCCATGACAACTAGGAACAACCTTAGATTTATTCCAAACAGTTAGGACACATTGAAAGAGAGCGTCAATCATGTATTATTTCGCCACTGAAATAAATGCAAAAACCGAGCCGGGACAAAGGCTTCCAACGGGAGCGGGACATTTGTCTACATTTCGCTCATTGTCCGCAGCTTAGCAATCGGTTTGTATTTGTGTTTGCCGGGGTCCGACCACCCAGGACGCGCCGACGAGGGGCTAGCTCTAACCTGGGCCATTGTCACCCACGTCACATACTGGGGGCGAGGCAGCAAGGGCTGCAGAAAGCCGCCGAGCGGCTTGGGAAGAGGCGCCCTCGCCGGGCGCTGGCAACCCTGGGGCGACCGGGGTGCGGCGGCAATCGCAGCTGCGCGCGAGGAGGACGCGCCCGCGTGCTCCGCTGGGCCCGCGCTGCGGCGGCCCTGGCTACCGGCTGAGGGGGAGGCGAGACCCGACTCCCGCGAGCGACTATGTCTGCCCCTCCCGCCCCCAGGCAAAACACTCTCCCGACGCTTTTTCGGGGGCGGACGAGTACCAGGAAGCAAACCTCCCCCCCCCCACCCCCCAAAGGGGAGCAGGAGAGAGGAGCGGGAAGTGAAGCGCGGAGGAGGGCGAGCTGTCCCAGGAAAGTTCAGTCTCCAGGCTGGCAGGCTGGGAGCCTGTAGCGTGTCCTCGGGACGCGTCTCCTGGGGCGCCCAAAAGGAGACGAAATTAAAGGACTCGCTTGGGAGAAGAAAACGCTGCATCATCCACCCGCTCTGCTACTCCCTCCCCCGCGGCTTTCGCAGGTCCTCACCCGGGCTGAAGCCAGCCCCCCCGCCCCCTTCCCACTCTGGTATCCCGTGGCTCCGCCACTGCAGGAGGCTGAAGAGGGAGGGACCCGAGCGGGAGGCATAATAGAGGGAAGGAAGGTTGCGGGACTGTCTGCCCTTCCCTCCACCGGGAAAACGCGGCCTGCGGATCCGCGAGGCTGCGAAGCCGGGGTCGGAACCCTAAGTTAGAGTTACCCACCCCCCACCCCGCCCCTCGCCTGGAGGCCCTCACAGCCGCAAAAGAACTGCGCGGTCCTCCGCCGCAAAGAAATGGAGGGGGTGAAGGGGAGACGGAGTGATGGAAATAAATAAGTCTTTAGCAAATAAAGGGCGGCTGAAGGAGGGGCGGGTTGTTGCCTGATGGTGGCTCCGGCCAGCCCCAGCGGTTCCCTCTCGGGTTGCGGGCTCTTTTGGCGTTAACTAGAATCAATTACTTGCCTTGTCATTTCTAGTACTCATCCTTAAGCCTCAACCAAAATATTGACCTAGGAGGCTTACAGAAGTTGGGCTCTTGCCATTTGAACCGGATCTTGTTTAGGGAGCCACCAGCTATGGGAAGGAGAGATTTCCTCGGCTCAGCCTTCGCCCCCTCCCCCCTTTCCAAAGGCGCCACAAATCGCCAATTTTCCGACTTGCTGGGAGGCGGGCGCGCGGGGGCAGGGAGGTAGGAACCTGTGAATGATTTTTTTTCCTCCTCTCGGTTTGTTTTGTTTTCCCTCCTCCTCCCCTGCTTTTTTAAAAATGCAATTTGTTAAAACGGCGCTTTCAAGTGTGTGGACTCGCGAGCAAGGCTGTGGTCCTTTGTATGTAAATACTGGGTTAAAAAAGGCTCGCCCGGTCTTTGCAATTAATTGACACGTTACACCTCTCATCTTGCTCTAGAGGGCCGTTGGCTGGGAGCGCGAAGCTCCCCAAAACCCACAATTTCACATCTGCAAATACTGTCTTCATCCACTTGACTTCCAAGACCCGCCCACACGTGTCCAACCTTTGCGTTTTAATGTGTCCCCCTTTTTTTTCCACCCTTCTCTCGCTCCCTCACTCGCTCCCCCTCCCTCCCTCTCTTTTTCCCTCCCTCTTTTTCCCCCCCCTCTCCCCCCGCCCCAGGTTCGCGAGTGGAGCCCAGCCTTATATGGACTGATCGCTCGGGCAATGGCCCATTTTTTCCTCGCCACCAGCCGCCACCGCGCGCCGAGCGGCTGCCGGAGCCCGAGCTGACGCCGCCTTGGCACCCCTCCTGGAGTTACAAACTAGGGCCCGGTGCACGGGTTGCTCAGCTCCCTGCATCCGTTTCTTCGTGCTTTCGGAGAACACAGGCGGTGGGCTCCCCGCCCCCCTTCCCTTTCCCCATAGTTTATTTCTCTTTTTAAAAAATACTTATTTCAATAATTAAAGCTCACCCCTCCTCCCCTCCCCAACCCCATCCCCCATTACCCCCTCCTTGCCCCAACTGGGGAGCGCCACGATTTGACCAAGTGAAGCTACAACTTTGCGGCATAAATTCCCGGGTCCCGAGCCATGTCGCTGACCAACACAAAGACGGGGTTTTCGGTCAAGGACATCTTGGACCTGCCGGACACCAACGATGAGGAGGGCTCGGTGGCCGAAGGGCCAGAGGAGGAGAGCGAAGGGCCGGAGCCCGCCAAGAGAGCCGGGCCGCTAGGACAGGGAGCCCTGGACACTGTGCAGAGCCTGCCCCTGAAGAACCCCTTCTACGACAGCAGCGACAACCCATATACACGCTGGCTGGCCAGCACCGAAGGCCTCCAGTACTCCCGTAAGTAGCGAAACTTATCTGCCCTGGTCGTGGCCGCCTCTATTCCTGTGGCCAAAGCCCACGCTGGACACTGGGGGGAGAAAGCGGAAGGAGCCATTGAAGCCCGGATCCCTCACCCTGCTCCGCTAGAAAGATTTTTAACACTTGTTTAGGATGCCCAAACTCTTTCCTCCTTGTCAAGAGCCACTAGTCCCAGAAAAGGACATGGTCTCAGATATTTTTTTCAAAGAGAAATTAAGAGGAAGAGGGGAGGGGAATACCTCCCAAGGCTGGTTACAGAAGTCGACTGGGACTGATGGCTCCTGCTGTAGCCCACTCCCCACCCCCACGCCGCTCCCCATTCCGAGAGCCGGGAGGGACTGGCCTGGAGCACTGGAGTGAGCCAGCAAGCCTCGGGTGGGGGAGGCTCTCGGTGGCCCGAGTATAAATAGCTCACTCTGCCCCCTGAACGATCATACAGGACGCTTTGTGCGATGCGGAGGGTGTGGAGAAAGTCCGAAAGCAAAAAACTGAAGCCCCTAAAACCCTGCCTTAAATGGCCTAGCCGATCAATGCCCGGATTGTGGGGGTTTTCTTTTAAAAATCTACCCACGTTTCTCCGGAAAGGAAACTGCTTAAGGGGGCCGAAGCCCTTAACCCACGATGATATTCTCCGAGCGCCACCCACCCCAAATACGCACCCACACTGTGCAAACCCCTAGAAACATGAGCCCCGAGTCCCCACTCCTGCAGCTTCTCCTCTTTCCCCTGGAGGACGCCAACGGCTTCGTCAGGAGTTGAGCAGGGCGGGGGGCTAGGCAAAGACGGTGGGGTTGGGCTGTGAGGCGCGGAGGGCCGATGGGGCACAGAGGATTTCAGCGCGCAATGTCTGGCCCAACCGGCGCGCGGCCTCCAGGTGCCTGATGCGCTTCTCTCTCCCGCAGTGCACGGGCTGGCGGCCGGCGCGGCGCCCCAGGACTCGAGCTCCAAGTCTCCCGAGCCTTCGGCCGATGAATCACCGGACAATGACAAGGAGACCCCGGGCAGCGGGGAGGACGCGGGCAAGAAGCGGAAGCGGCGGGTGCTCTTCTCTAAAGCTCAGACCTATGAGCTGGAGCGGCGCTTCCGGCAGCAGCGGTACCTGTCGGCTCCGGAGCGTGAGCACCTGGCCAGCCTCATCCGCCTCACTCCCACGCAGGTCAAGATCTGGTTCCAGAACCACCGCTACAAGATGAAGCGCGCCCGGGCCGAGAAAGGTATGGAGGTGACGCCCTTGCCCTCACCGCGCCGGGTGGCCGTGCCCGTTTTGGTCAGGGACGGTAAACCGTGCCACGCGCTCAAAGCCCAGGACCTGGCAGCTGCCACCTTCCAGGCGGGCATTCCCTTTTCGGCTTACAGCGCGCAGTCTCTGCAGCACATGCAGTACAACGCCCAGTACAGCTCGGCCGGCACCCCCCAGTACCCAACAGCTCACCCCCTGGTCCCAGCCCAGCAGTGGACTTGGTGAGCGCCGCCCCTCCGAGACCCGCGGCCCCAGACCCAGGCCCCATCCAGGCGTCGGCAAGGAGGACTTGGTCCTTACGGTGGTTATTATTATTATTATTATTATTATTATCATCATCATCATCATCATCATCATCATCATCATCATTGAGTCGAGTTGACTCTCGGCTCCGTTGGGGAAGCGCAGGGAGGTTGCCTGCGCCTCCTTGGAGTGGCAGATACCATCTACCAAGCGCTGCCGCGTCCCTCTCTCCTTTTGAATCTTTGGAGAGGGCTGGACTATAAGCCGTGTTTACAGAATGTTTGCGCAGCTTTGCTTCTTGCCTCTCTTCGGGGGGACCAGATCGTCCCAGCGTTAAAGTCCTCACTTGAGAACGAGAAAAAGACCAATCCGCCTTTCTCTCCCCCTGCTCTTGTGAATTTTGTAAAATATGTTTGTGTGAGTAGCGATATTGTCAACGGTCTTCTTCTAAAGCAAGTGGAGAACACTTTTAAAATATAAAGGGTTTTTCTCTTTTTTATATAAGAAAATGCTAAATATTTATGGCCATGTAAACGTTCTGACAACTGGTGGCAGATTTCGCCTTTCGTTGTAAATATCGGTGGTGATTGTTGCCAAAATGACCTTCAGGATGGGCCTGTTCCCCCTGGAGGCCCAACTCCTTTCTTCGTGGTTTGTTTTTGTTTGCTTATGTTTGGTTACCTCTGCTTTCTTATTTTCTTTTTTATTTTGTTCAGTGTAAACATTTGTTAAATATTAAAAAGGACAAATGTGTAGGCGTGAAGCCCCCTGCCCATCGTCTGGGTCCTGGGCCCCGGAACTTGGAGCTCAGAGGTTCGGTGCGGTTCTCCAAGAGCGCCGGGCGCTGAAAGCTTTCGATTTTTTAAATAAGAATTTTAATAAAAATCCTGTGTTTAAAAAAACCAAGCCCGGCCCTCCCGTTTGTTTTTGTCGTCCTGCGCCAGGCCGAGGTTTCGGGCAAGAACCCTGGCCAGGCCGCTTGCAGCTCTCTTCCCCGCGCTTCCTGTCCAGGCCCGGAACGGAGACCCGGCCAGGTGTACCAGGGGCACAGGAAAGGCTCCCGGACAGGATTCACTTGGGCGGGAGGGCGAGGCCCGGAACCTCGGACCCCGGGCTGAGGAAGGAGTGTTTGGCCTCGGGCCTGCGATCTGTAGACCCGAAGCCCGGGGTCGCCCGCTCTCTCCGGGGCCTCTCGCCTCGCCTCTCGCTGTCTGAATCCGGGGCAGCGGCGTCCTGACTTTGGCAGAAAAAATGACTTTGGAAAACGCAAAGGCGAGGGAGTAAGCCCCCCTCGCTCGCCCAAATCTATGAGTGGCTCCTTCAGCCTGAGAAGCTGTTGAAGCCACTACACTCGATGACTTTCACTTTGTTGCATTTGATTTACCTCGCGCTAAGAAGAGGGGGAGGGCTTGAGGCTGAGACTGGTCGGCTTTCTTTCTATTCCCCACCCCCCTTTTAAAATCCGCGGACCTGAGGCGGCCTAAGAGACCGCTCCAAGAAATGGGTTTGGGGTCGTGGGGAGGGTTTCTGGGCGCTCGAGGTTTTGGCAATAAGGAAGGACACGGGGACCGGGACGCGGGGGAGGGAGTGGGATGCAGCGCCTCCTATAGACTCGTTGGCTGGGGAGAGCCAGGGAGCGGGAGCCAGTGGCAATCCCTGCTAACGGCGGCTCCCCTCCCTCCCGCCCGCGCCGAGTTCGGGTTTCCAGCCCCCTGCCCTGCACTTGATCTCGATCCTCTTCCCCTCCTGGCCTTTGGCTGCGCGTGGTCCCTCAGGCGAGCTTTTGGGCGTGAAGCTGGGTGACTTGCTTGCTAGAAAGTAGGGGTTTGGAGGTGCGGTGGTGGGCCCAGGCTTCCAGGACTGGGGTGAGAGGAGTGGGAAGTGAGCAAACAGCCCCGGGTTCGCCCAGGGGAGGGCGCATCAGTCCTTCTCTAGTAGACTACTGATTCCATCCCACTCTCGTCACAGAGAGATCTCCTGGGCGGATGCTGGTGCACACTTGCCCGCGCGGGGGAGCGTCTCAGGGGGCCCTGCGGACTTGGGGGGAGGGGTGCCTCCCTCCTCTATCTCATGGATTTCCGAAAATACCCAGGGTTCTGTAGCTCAGAGCCCAGCAGGCGCTCTGAGCCGCCTCGGGATTGAAAGTCAGCCCCATTAGGAAATTGTATCTCTCGTTCCTTCACCAGCTCCACCTTCGTGGCTGGAGGGGCAGGCGGGGCGAGGAGGCTGAGCAAAAGGAGCAGTCCCAGCTGACTTTCTCATTCCCTCTGGTTGATGATCAGGTTTAATTCAATATCTAAAGCAAACATGATTATCCGTATGACCAAATCTGTGCGTCAATAGCACTCAGCGCAACAGGCCCAGGGACGTGATTACCCGTTATTCCCGCATTGTACACCGCCCCTGGATAATTGAGGACCCGAGAGTCCTTGTAATATCCTCCTAAATATCCTTTCACATCTCCAGGTTCATCTGGGTTCATCCAGGTTTTCCTAAATGCTGAAAAGCCTCCCTTTGTTCCCCACACTAGCTTGGAAACGCTTGGGGTTTTTATTTATTGCTGTTTGTAAAGGCCAGAATTTTCTCCCTAGTCGTTTGTTGTGCATGCCCAACTTGTGCTGGTACCAACCATTCAACATCCCACTAGTAACTTCCCTGTAACCCCCGAATCCCCAGGAAAGGGAGTTGAGATTTTCTGAGCCTCCTGGAATGGAGTTGACAGGAGGCCTGAGCCACAGCCCGCAAGACTCTATTCTTGGCCCTAGGGCTTCTCGGGGAGCCAAGATTGAGTATAGGAGCCCCCAAGCCTCCATGGAGGAAAGAGTCGGCGTGGAAAGTCCAAATTCTCACAGGCTTCCACTGAGTGTGTGCTTTGAGGGAGTGTTTGGGGCGGTGGCCAGGCCCGCGTGGGCCTGCGGTCTGGATGTGTGCTAGCGCGGCCTGGAACCAGAGAGGTCGGCCCCGCGCCCGCCTCTTTCTGTCCTCGGGCCCCCATGGAGTCAATAAAAACGCTCGCGGAGCCTTGTGTGGCCCTAACCCCAGCGCCCTGGGAGCGCACCAGGCGCAAGGTCCGCTTAGGCAGTCTATCTTCGCCAAATCTACAGCGGGCCTCACAAAACGGCACAATGGGAGAGCTAGGAGCAGGGGATGTTAGAGGCGTGCATATTAAAAAGGGACTGAGAATGGGTCTCAGGGGACCGAGCGAGGGGAAGAGGGAGAAGGGGCCCGCCCCCCCACCCCACCCCCTACCCAACCCCTACCCGCACCATTCAGCGCGCTTATCGCAGGCAGTGAATCCCGGAGTCAGGCAGAAGTCTCCTTGGGGTTTTGTTGGGCCTGTCACTGGGTCCCTTTGTCATCCTCGGGCTCCATGCTGGATTCCATATGGCCAGCTGGGCCGAGGGAGCGCGAGGAGGGACCCGCACAAAACCCAAATTGTGTCCGGCTTTCAAACACTTTATTGTTGTCTGTGAAAGGAAGACGCATTAAAAATTCGTGCTATATCTATTGGGGAGGAGGTTGGAGGAGGGGAAAAAAGCAACCCCTGTCTTTGATGGCTTCAGAGGGTGCTTGCCCCGCCTAGGCCCCGTGACACACTGAGAGCTAGATCTCTGGATCTCTCACAATGGAGAGATCTCTCTCGCCCTCCCCGCGCCCCTCTGCCTTTTCTGCCTGTATCCGCTGTAACTCTAGAGCTCAGGCCTTCAGTGTTTGGGCTCATGGCGCACACTTTGCATGCTCCCATGCTACGGAGCTGGCAACTAGGCTTCTCCTGTCCTGGAGCCCTGCGTTGAAGCCGTCGGATTGTGCGGGCTCAGAAGACCGGGTGCCATGGGCCTGGGGGATGCTCGGCCCCCTCGGGCTTCTCCGCTCCAGGGTAGATGAAAATCCAGTTCCCTGATTCCCGCACCCGACGCATCCTGACGCCTCCGTGCACGGAGCCACCCTTCCACGCACCGCAGAGAAAGCTTGGGGAGTCCAAGGGGCCCCCTCAGTCCTAGGCCTAGGGCTCGATCTCCGCGGCTGGTTCTGAGGCCACGTCCACCCAGCAGCACCGCTCAGTTACTAGCCCCATGTCATTCGAATTATGAGCAGGGATCCCACTGGCATCCCTGTGCGACGGAAAACCAGCTGAGAAACTTCGTTTACAGCCCCGCCTCCCCCCTTTACCCCGTGTTGGAGGAAAGAGGGACTTCCTCTTTAATTCTCATTGTCTCCAGCATCATTTTGTTAGCAAAATTCAGTAACAGGGAGACAGAGCAGAGCTTCCAAGGATTTTGCCCATTCTTGCCTCACCTAAGCAGTCCAAATTAGAGCAGGACAGTCGGAGATCATTTGGGTCATGTCCCTCCTCCAATAACCGTGTCAGAAATTCCCATAAGTAGCCTCCCAAAAAATATGTGCTAAAGGAGAAGTTCATGCTGAGCGCTGTGGAAATAAAAATAGAACCCACACATGCCCCCCTTGGGCTAAGTGATTCAACCCTAAGGAGCACCAGAGATGGTGGAAATTCCAGCTAATCCAAAATTTGGGCTCTCCCCCTTTTCCTATTTAGTACTACTATCATATTTAGTAGAATCAGATAACTCGATTAAGAGTAGGAACCCTCTTCTCAACGCCCCCACCCCAGCCAGGGAAATCACTTATTTTCCTTACCTATTGACTGTTGGGCTTAGTTGAGACCTGGTGTGGATTTCTCGAGCCTTTTCAAGAGCCTGGCCATTGAAAAGCTAATCCAATATTTACCGAGCATAAGGACAGTATTTATTAAGGTCCATCACTAAGTGATTACTTGCACTGAAGACAAAGGCCAAGGGAGGGGGCGTCCAAGAGCACCAGATCCTGCCCGGGTGGGGTCTTCCCCACCCAGAACTAGGAAGCCAGGCGAGAACGTGTGAGATGCTGAGGTTCCCCTCTCGTGCTTAAGTGGCGTGCGGATTAGATATTGTATTGGCCGATATTTCAGGAAATACGTACTTGTGGCTTCCTGAGAGGCCAGGCGCAGTGACACTCTAAACTGTGTCGATATATCATCTTTTATCCAGGATCTGCAAATAAACCCCTGATCCCCCCAGCGC